TCGCCGCACCGCGATGGCAACAGACGGCAAGGGACGCATCATTAGGCTTGGCTTACTCATCTTTCTGGAGTGTCTCGCCGTGGTTTCTCCAGTCTGCTGTGTCCCGTTCAATGCCTCCCAAGGTTTGTCCATCATCTAAATAAGCGACACACCGAACACTAACCCTAAAACGACCCCAAAGCAGGGCTCTCGTTATCAGACCAAATTGGTCTGTTTTCTGATTTTCAGACCTTGATTTTTGTTTTCATCTGATTTTCAAGACGAGGATTTTTACTTCGTCTGATCTGTAAGATTACGAATTTCAGTTCATCTGATTTTTCAGAGGAAGCCTTATACTTCGTCTGAAATTTCAGATAGGGGGTTGCATTTTGTCTGATATCGACCCCAATCCACTCTCTCCCCCCCCCCCCCCTTCTCCCCCCCCGATCCCTCGCTTCTCTAACAGCGCAGCCCCCCATTTGATGCCCTCGCTCCTCGTCCCTATATTACTGGCCTAGTCCAGCCCATCTCCCCCTTTCCCCCAGCCTTAGGTCCCCTCCCCAGGTTCCCGCTCCTAGCCTAGCCCGCTTTCCTATGCCTCTCGAAAAGTCTCCCCCTTTCCCCAAGCCTTAGGTCCCCTCCCCAGGTCCCCGCTCCTAGCCTAGCCCGCTTTCCTATGCCTCTCGAAAAGTCTCCCAACAGCCCAACACCCCCAGCCGAACTCCCCCGAAGTCCTCATCGCACGAAGAACTGTGGCTTCCAGCAATTAGCTGGAAGCCTTCCTCGTGACTCCCGATTTCGGGAGTCCTGTCAGTCTGATTTCAATACTGGGGGGTAATTGCGGGGCAACAGAACCACCCTGCAGTCAACATGCGCATTGCCGAAACCAACCTACGAGGCGACTGCAGGGTGTAAGTTGCGCATCGCATGTCAGTTGGAGCGACTAGTTCGAGTTTGTTACCATCGGAGCCGAAAACGAGACCATCGCACATGCGAGGTATGAGCAGTTGCGTTGTTACCACGCGTAACATTTCGGGTTACCCTGTATTTATTGAAAAGCTATAAATCAAACAGTAATCTAATTACATGGAAATACAGGCTATTAATTAAGATAATTACACTACCGGATAAAACCAGAAATAAGACACGGTAGATATATTCATGTTAAACATTACAGCACTCAGTTCAGCCACGGTATGGAGCGTTTCGTTGGCAATTTAATATATTAAAGCTGACAATACATGGCAACATCATATATGCCTACTGCCACATCGCTACACAAACCAGGGAACGCTAGCCTAGCACGCTGCAGCTAGTTCTATTCTGAAGGACTCCACCACATGTGCTGTAACGCATCTGCTTCCTTGCTGAAACTCCCGCACAATAGATTATTAGCTCTAAACACCAAAGAAAGAGTCAGGCAGAAAACGCGACACCAACCACAGCTACTTACCGTTGACGAAAGGACGGTAAAGCACTTGTAGTAATTATGCCATGCTCCTTAAACCTGCAAAAAAAAATCGGAATACCATTGCTCATAAGCGTAGGGGCAAGAACTCCCAACACTGACGAAACTCACCTGAAATGCTGAACCACGCATATTCGCTTCAGAGGTCTTCACCGTCTTCGCCCAAGCTTCATTGATTTTGCCCAGGCAAAACCACACTTCGCGACTCGACAGCACCTCGCAGATAGCACCACTCAGCTTCATGATAAAATACTTCACGATCTGCAAGTGCGAGTAGCTAACAGTATAAGACGTGGCAAGGACATTGTCGAGAGTAAGTGAACAGGAGAATGAAAGGTGGGGCCTAGGCTTAGTAGCCTAGGCCCTAACTAGGTATCGAGCGGGTTTTCCTTAGGAGCGATGTCGAGTGAGTTGTGAGAGAGAAATTGGAGAATGTGTTTTCACTATAGCATTCGAAGTACATATAGCAAAGGAACACATGAAGAGGTGCACCACCTACAAATTTAATAACTACACTACAGCTAGAACTATATGCACTTATAATAAATATAATTCTGACATCCCCCCGTAACTGCATGCAGGAATAGCTAAGTGTCAAGCACAACCTGCAGAGGTACACCAACGAGCAATAAAACAAGCAACAGCAGGTACTGCAGGCGGGCTAACTTTGAAAGGTTACCCCCTCCATCTCCTCACCCTCCTCCTTCCCCTCCCCCACACTGCTGCAGAAGCAGCAGAGAAGGGGGGAAGAGAGGAGAGGTGGAGGGACGGCTGCTTGTTGCCTCACACCCGCCACCCGGGTACCACTCCCCCTGCTCACCCACATCCTCACACCCTCCCCCCCCAGCGGCAGCTGCAGCGGTGGGACTGAAAGAAGGAGGAGGGGAAGGGAGAGAGTTGACCCCACGCTCCAACACCCTCCACCCCCATACCCTCCTCCCCACGGCTGCAGGGAGACAAGAGAAAGGGGGGGGTGGGAAGGAAGAAAGCCGCAGAGCGGCGAAGAGGCGTCGGTGCAGATGGGTCAGGGGCGGCAGCAGGGAGTGCAGGGGCGGAGAGGCCCGTCGCGGGCCAGTGCCACGGGGCGCACGACGGGTAGGATAAAAGGGCCCGATCGTGTGCCTCGGGGCGCACGACGAGCAGGGCACCATCGTGTGCCTTGGGGCACACGATGGGCAGATAAAGGGCACCGTCGCGTGCCACGGGGCGCGCGACGGGCAGGGTAGGAGTCACACGCCCGTGGGCGGGACAAGGTAAAGAATAAAATCGTCACGCGCCCTAGGCGCGCGACCGTAAAATTTTAGCAGCGGAAGTAAAGCGGGCCCACAGGCCAGGACAAAATCAGCTCTGATACCATGTCGAGAGTAAGTGAACAGGAGAATGAAAGGTGGGGCCTAGGCTTAGTAGCCTAGGCCCTAACTAGGTATCGAGCGGGTTTTCCTTAGGAGCGATGTCGAGTGAGTTGTGAGAGAGAAATTGGAGAATGTGTTTTCACTATAGCATTCGAAGTACATATAGCAAAGGAACACATGAAGAGGTGCACCACCTACAAATTTAATAACTACACTACAGCTAGAACTACATGCAGTTATAATAAATATAATTCTGACAGACATAGACAGGGTCAGTGAGAGAACCAAGTAATGGGGAAGCATATCTATTATTGAAGGACATGTTAAAGCTTGACATAGCAAAACGGAAAAAAGATATCGACGAAGAGCACATGTAGGGACAAACACAGAAATCCCTCACCGACATTCACGGCGGCGTCATGCTCAACACCAGGTTGCAGTTGTTTGTCATGAAGGGGGGTGTGGGAACCATCGTGCACCAAGTCCTCGTTGAAAAAAAGGCAACACAAAAATGAAACACTAGTTCAAAATGAGACTGATATTGCTGGCTCTGTTCGTAACCAGCTCAGTTCAGACAAGATGTGAGGTGAGGACCTTGACAGTTGGGAAACTGGTTCCTCGTAAAAAACGCTGCCCAGATAAAACATGTCAGCAACTGCGGACTAATCACGAATAGCCAGGTACTAGTAGATGTTGCTTTTGTTGACCTTGGGCAGAAAAAATCACGCGACAAGGCAGCATTTGCAGGTGAGAAGGGAATGTTCGGAAGAATCTGGCTGCGAATCAGATACCTCGAGCGAAGCCATGCTGGGTGCTGAAGTACAGAGGCAGGCTGTACAAGGAGCAGATTTCCGGCAAAATGCACACCCCCAATCCATCGGCGCGATCTGGGATGAAGCGAGTATGTGCCCCCCGATGCACACATCAGCACTGTAATCGACGGTCAGCGTGGAGGGATGAGGTGGTGGTTGGAAATGGATGTACGTAGTCAGTTCGATGTTCCACCTTCTGTGTGTCTGTCAATATTTCACGCGTCTCGACATCGAGGTTGGTCCACTCGATGATGAGTGGTGATTGGTCTAAATTCTGCCATCTTGTAAATCTTCGCTGACACAGCAAAGCATTCAGGAAGGAGGTCGCCTTGTTGGGAGATCGTGATATAAGCCGGTTAAGAGAGATATCTGGAGTAAAATATAAAAGAAAATGATATAAATATAAAATACGATATACCTGTCTGTGATATAAATCAATACATATCGAACTTGCTAAATACAAAACAACCCCCACTAACCCAGTCATATGCGCTGCTCACAAAGTGATATCCAGCTCCAGCACTCAGTCATAATCAAGCTCTCTCTCACATGAGAACACCTGAGGTTTTGTTACGAGTGCAATTTGAGTGATTGGGCAAGAATTGCACTACCGAAACAGAGTACAATGAGTGAACGCATGAGCGAAGAATATATAGCGAAACTACAGTGGTAATGGTAATGGACTGTGGTTCCTTATGTGGAGGGCCCTCAGTAGGCATGATCATCCTGCCCCGGCGGGTCGGGCCGACCCGACCCGACCCGGGTTTTGACCCGGGTCGGGCCAGACATTTTGAAGCGTTGACCCGGGCGGGTCGGGTCGGGTTTACCCGGCCGGGTCGGGCCGACCCGACACCCGAAACCGGGTCGGGTCGGGTCGGGTCAGTTTTTGACCCGAAATTTGACCCGACTCGAAATCGGGTACCGCGCCCTAAGTCGGGTCGGGCATTTGGCCCGACCCGAGTTTCCCTCCCTCGACAATTCGAAGTAAAGCAGATCGCCAAGTCAATGTCTAGGGTTTTTTTTTTTCCCTCGACATTGACTTCGATCTGCTATACCTAGGCAGCTAGCACTCTCTAACCTAGCTCGTTCTTAACCTCTATAACTCTCTAAACCAGCGCCCATGTTTAGGAACCCTATTTCATGTGGTTCAATGTTGGCGGAATGGAGTTCTTAGCCTAGCGTGACCAACCACAGATTTTCGATTTTATAGACTTACTTATTCCAAGCTCTCACACACGACTAAACTCTGGCCCCGCGTTCAAATCGCCCACTTCGCGCCTACCACGCCCGCATCTTTAGGGACGCGACCCCCAATTGTCTAGGCCTGCGCCATTACAAAAACGTCGCGACTCCAAGGTCCGAAACGTAATCGACGCCGCTTGCACGCGAATGGAGGGGGAAGAAGACAGCTCACGGGCTATTCCTGGGGCTTCACTTGGAGGCCTCCCGACACCGGCCTCCAGGGCCAGTTTTCGCTTGGGGAGCGTCTTCAATGGGCAGGAAATTGGGTGGGACGATGCAATTGCGACGAGGAGGCGTGAAGAGGTGCGGGAATGGGAGTCTCTAGGACCTGGCCCGGTGACGGAGGAGCAAGGAACACGGGGAAAGGAGAAGGACCCGGATTGGAGGCCGGCTCCGGGGGAGGCGGCCGGCACGAGTGGAGGATCGGGTGATGAGGGTTGGGGAGGGAGAGGAGCGGGCCAGGCTGGTGGCAGTGGCGCGCGTGGCAGCGGTGCAGCAGCAAAGAGGCCACGCCCGAGTGGGCCTGTGGGGTCGGGAGCTGGAGGGGCCGGGCCGGCGTCGAATTCGCAGCCGCAGGGGGCAGCCGCGGGTGGTTCTGAGGGGTCGGGCGCAGCAGGGGCAGGTACCTCCGCCGCTGCGGCAGGTGGTGCACCTTTGGGTGGGTCTACGGGGGCTGGAGCTGCTGCTGTGATTGCAAGCCAGAGGTCCGACAGGGCGGGCAGGACCCCTACCGACGAGGAGCTGGACCCATGGACTGAGGAGGTGCTTAGGAATGCAGAACCCGGCCTGGTTCGTGGCATGTTCAGTGAGAAGGATGTGAACGAGGCTAGGAATTGCAAGATTTGCAAGAAGAAGATTAGCTGGAAAGGTAGTTGCACGAGCACGGGGAAGAGACACCTTAAGAGGAGCCACTACCCCAGTCTGCAGATCTGGTGTCGGCGTTTCAAGGATCCAAACAAGCCAGACAACCTGACGTTTCCCGATGGGGGATGGGGTCCGGATGTCCCCGACCAGACAGCGTGGCCTTGGGAGCATGCAGCCACGTGGCCCAGGATTGTACAGACACCAGACAGCGCTGTGACTGGCGGATCCGAGGCTGGTGGGAGTAGGCAGATGAGCATGGCCGCATTCGTCACGCCGCGTGTTCATGGCCAGCAGCTGCGCGAGGGATTGGTGCTGCTATTTGCGGCAGCTGACCTTCCGTTTCGACTTGTTGAGTGTCGCGAGGTGAGTGACGCCGTTCTCTTGCCGTTGGTCATGTTCATCTTCGTATTGAGGTGGTCATATTCGTACAGGGCAGCCGCACTGCATTCTGTTGGCTAATCCCGAAGCATCTTCATAATCCTTTTACCGACATCCTTTGACTCCTGCGTTACAGTTCAAAGCATTTGTCCAGATGCTGAACCCGGGAGCTGCGCTACTGCTCGGCTCACGTCATCGCTTGGCACGGGACATGCAGGCATACGGGGAGGCTGCTCGGGAGGACATGCGGCAGCTACTGGTGGGTGATGGCCTGGCGGGAAGGATGTCCCTCACCTTTGACATCTGGACCGGTGAGAACAACGTGGCCTTCATGGGGGTGACTGCCCACTATGTCACCAGCGATTTCCAGCTAAAACAGGCTGTTATAGACTTCAGGGAGCTTAAGGGCTCTCATACGGGGGACTTGATAGCCGATGAGCTGGAGGAGGTGTTGAGGGAGTGGGGCTTGGAGAAGATGCTGTTCGCCGTGACGTGTGACAACGCCGAGAACAACAGCAGGGCGATGCGTCTGCTGGCCGGTGTACCTGACGCCAGGCCGGGCTCACGGCCCAGGCACCCACCACTGCTCAGTCGCTGGAGGCACTTCAGGTACTATGGGGCTGTCTCCGTAAGGGTATGCTATAAATTGTTGGCGTAGTCCACCATGTTTGTTATGGAAGTGCTCATGTGGTACAGTGACATTAAGGTTGTGCACAATGCATTGCCCCAACAGGTGCATGGCGCACGTCGTCAACCTTGCAGTGCAAGCTGCACTGAAGGTTGACGAGGTGGCCGAGCCACTCAAGAGGCTGCGAGACGTGGCGAACTACATCGGCTGGTCCACACTGCGCACAGATCGTTTCTTCGAGCTCCAAAAGGGATACGCGGCGACCCGGCCCCAGGGTCCTCCCGGTTCTCGGCGACCATCGGGTCCGTTGCGTTTGATCGTGGACTGCGTGACGAGATGGGGTTCTACACTCCACATGGTGAACAGGGGCTTCGAGCTGCGCATGCCCATTGCCATGTTTTTCGACGATTCAGATGTACGTATGGTTGGATTCACATTCGCTTGTGACTATGGCGAATGGGGGTACGTGGGCATGGCTTGAATAGTGCCACCATCCCATGCATGTGCCACCATCCCATGCATGCATGTGCCACAATCCCATGCATGTGCCACCATCCCATGCATGCATGTCCCACCATCCCATGCATGTGCCACCATCCCATGCATGCATGTGCCACAATCCCATGCATGTGCCACCATCCCATGCATGTGCCACCATCCCATGCGTGCATGTGCCACCATCCCATGCATGTGCCACAATCCCATGCATGTGCCACCATCCCATGCATGCATGTCCCACCATCCCATGCATGCATGTCCCACCATCCCATGCATGTGCCACCATCCCATGCATGTGCCACAATCCCATGCATGTGCCACCATCCCATGCATGCATGTCCCACCATCCCATGCATGCATGTCCCACCATCCCATGCATGTGCCACCATCCCATGCATGTGCCACCATCCCATGCATGTGCCACCATCCCATGCATGCATGTCCCACCATCCCATGCATGCATGTCCCACCATCCCATGCATGTGCCACCATCCCATGCATGTGCCACAATCCCATGCTGTGCCTCCATCTTTACAACCCATGTGACCCATACCAGTCATCCATCAGCAAGGAGACTAAGAAGGCGTGGGACGCCATCAGGTTGACGGATGCGCACTGGGACGACCTCGCCGAGCTCCGAGACTTCCTCACCCCATTCGAGCAAGTCACCCTCTTCGCCGAGGGTTCCCTGTACCCTACCCTCTCAGCCGTTGTACCGCAGTACAACGCGCTGATTGATCTGCAGGAGAAGACACAGCGCACTCCTGGCATCTCCCCTCTGCGCTCATCGCTGATCACTGCTGCTCTGAGCAAGCTGGAGCGACACATGGGGGGTGTGAGCGAGGAGGCAGCGATAGCCACTTTCTTGGACCCGCGCCAGAAGCTCGCGCCCTTCAAGCACCGAGCCAGGGCAGCAGAGGGGAATTCGAGAGGGACAACACTGGAGCTAGGACCTGATAGGGTGAAGGCCCTGGTACGAGCGCGCCTTCCAGAGTACCAGGCAGCCAGCACCACGGCGCTGCGAGATGGTGGGGAGGTGACTAGTGCGAGGGGTGCAGGGGTGCATGCGTCGGCAGGGGGTGGGGCTGTGGATGCATCGGCAAATGTCAGCATCCAGTCTCAGTTGTTCGCTGCGTGGGACGCCATGGAGGCCGAAGAGGGGGAGGATCTACAGGATGAGGTGGATCAGTACCTGGCAGAGGGGAGGCAGAGGGGTGGAAGCGCATTGGAGTATTGGCGCAGCAGGGAGACACTGAAGGGCTTGAGGGCGATGGCTAAAGATTATCTGGGGGTACCGGCTTCGTCAGCAGCGAGTGAGCGCGCATTCTCACAGAGCAGGAACATCATTACTTGGCAGCGACACCGACTGGCAGCTGGCCAAGTGCGTGCTTCCATGCTGATTAAGACGTGGCAGGACCACCACCCTTCGGGGACTCTCGCTCCCAAGGGCACCTCAACGGCCAATCCCACCCTGGGAGTGGAGGATGAATCGATGGGGTTGTGATATTTGTTCGTAATTGATGCTCATGCCCTTAACTTCATCAGATAACGTGATCGGACCAAAACTTGATTGGTTCTTATTCCTGTGCGTCGAACTACTAGTTGACTCCGTTAGCTTTTAGGCCTTTGTAGGTTTTTTCCAAACACGTGTAACAGTTTACGCAACTTTGAATAGTTAATTTACAGAAGGGAGGACGTTCATATAATAATATATTACACAAACATTCAGTCTTTGCAACACTGGACAGTAGCGAGGAAACCCCTACACACTGCATATGGGGTTCTGGCCCGACCCGACCCGACCCGGCCCCTACCCGACCCGACCCGGGGGCGGGTCAAGCCTGACCCGGCACCCGATACCCGGGTCGGGCCAGGATTCCTAGAAGTTCCGACCCGACCCGACCCGACCCGAAAGCCGGCTGGCCCGCCCAAGTCGGGTCGGGTCGGGTCGGGTCGGGCCTAATGATCATGCCTAGCCCTCAGAAGCGTTCCCACGAGAGAACCTGCTGTATACCATGTGAAGAATGAGGAATGAATGAACTAGCAAGCAGGTGGGTACAAGTAGGAAAACCTAAAAGTGTTGTACCCCATATAGTCTACCCCACTACAGCCTACACATAGTATAGCATATAAGTTTGCCATACACGACTGTGTGGGACATATTTCATTGTCGTGTAAAAATCACCAAAGAACATCGTAAAAATATTAGAGATTCATTGGGTTTACAATGTTGAAGCAATGAGTTACCAGTATGTGAAGTCATTTTTAAGTAAGTGTTTTACAGAATTGTATTGGCTACTTGCATATTTTAGCTTTACATTACTAGTCTAATCACACAATGTAGCAGTACAGTATGATACGAACCACTCCTGGACAAACGTGAAGTGTTTTTGCCAGATATCCAGAATTTTTGGAAACCCTTGGAACCACGCTGGATCTAGATTTTTTCAGCACATTGAATGCCTGTGTTACGGGCTGTTTGCCCGAAACCATTATCGTGACAACTCCAACCAGAATTTTGGTAACTGCGCGCGATCAGAATCAACTCGGAGTCGGCGGGCAATTAGAAAACATTCCCGCCAGCAAATTGCGGGAACCTGATGTCGCCGAACTGTCTGCCAGCAAATTCCCGTCCAACACCCCTAGAGTTGCGATGCTTGTCGCAGCCCAACACCCACCCCCCCTGCCCTTAGCATGCCGCGAGCTGCCCAACAACCTTCCACATTTAGGTTGTGTCGCCCTGAATCGATATACAGTAATACACTATGCAATTTGAAAAAAAACAGACAGCACTATCCATCACTATAATCAAGTGGCGGAAAACCTCTCATGAAGTGTGTTTGTTGTGTTTTTGCAGATGATTTGAAGATGTAGGGGTCGGTATTTTTTTAGAAGAAAGTATCGAAATTTTTCCAGATGGTATGTCAGATGCTTTGCAGATGATCGGAGTGTTTTTAAATAGTTTGGAAATGGTTGTGAGGAACTTCTCATTTTGTTTGGGATAACTTGTTTAAATCATGTTATGTGCTTCAATTTTAGACTTGTATAAGGTTTGCTATTTACTTTTATATGCATATAATAATCTTGGAAAGGGTTTATGGGGTATTATAAATAAACATAATCGGAGTTTGAAAAACCCAGTTGGTAGTTTCTTCAGCACTTTCCATAAATACACCGTAAGAGGGAAGGCATGTACGTGTAAATCATAATATTAGCTTGAAAAGATTTACGACACATTAGATGCCTACTTATTCTCTGGTTCTTAGCTACTCTACTAATCATCCTCGGTTAATGCACCTGCACTACTACTACCCACTATCAACCCTAGGTCCGTACTCTGCTTCATCCTCCCTGCTGTGCTACTCCCTGTTACATCCTCCCTGCTGTGCTACTCCCCGCTGCATCCTCCCTGCTGTGCTACTCCCCACTACATCCTCCCTGCTGTGCTACTCCCCGCTACATCCTCCCTGCTGTGCTACTCCCCACTACATTCTCCCTGCTGTGCTACTCCCCGCTGCATCCTCCCTGCTGTGCTACTCCCTGCTGCATCCTCCCTGCTGTGCTATTATTTCTTAACCCCGCCCCCTTGATGTCAATCCTTGCTTCCCCCTCATGTTGTTACTAGTGTGCCCCCCTCCCTGCTGTTACTCCTGCGCACCTCTCCTTGCTGATACTCCTCTCCTCCCTTCCTGGTCGTGGTTCCTCTCCTCCCTTCCCTGCTGTGGTTCCCCTGCTCCCCTCCCTACTGTGACTCCTCTCCTCCCTTCCCTGCTGTGGTTCCCCTGCTCCCCTCCCTGCTGTGGTTCCTCTCCTCCCTTCCCTGCTGTGGTTACCCTGCTCCCCTCCCTGCTGTGGTTCCTCTCCTCCCTTCCCTGCTGCAGCTCCTCTGCTCCCCTCCTTGCTGTGGTTCCTCTCCTCCCTTTCCAGCTGTGGTTCCCATGCTCCCCTCCCTGCTATGGTTCCTCTCCTCCCTTCCCTGCTGTGGTTCCCCTGCTCCTCTCCCTGCTGTGGTTCCTCTCCTCCCTTCCCTGCTGTGGTTCCCCTGCTCCTCTCCCTGCTGTGGTTCCTCTCCTCCCTTCCCTGCTGTGGTTCACCTGCTCCCTTCCCTGCTTTGGTTCCTCTCCTCCCTTCCCTGCTATGGTTCCCCTGATCCTCTCCTTGCTGTGGTTCCTCTCCTCCCCTCCCTGCTGTGGCTCCCCTGTCCCCCCATTCCCTCTTACTCCAAGCTCGGAGCACCGCAATTCCACCATTCATCTCCTCTAGACGTGCACTGACGCCACCCTCCTTGTCGGATTGCGGGGTTGTGGTCTCAGCCTATACTCCTCGAACCCCGACTCATGGACGAACAAGCCAAAATTCCCCCACTTAAACCCCTTCATCCGTGGGTCGTAGACAGGGTTCACGTGGCTGAAATGATCCGTCACCGCCTGCTTCACCGCCCTGCGGATGCTTGCCACCCACCGCGTGTTCTTTCGGTGGGAGTTTGTGAGGTTCATCGTCGACTTCTTGACCTTCGACAAGCCGTAGTCAATCTGCATTGTCAAAATAGGGGAGCATGGACAGATTCAAGCGTGATAAGTGTGAGAGGTCGGAATCATGTGGGGCAAGCACAACATCCAGTGAAGTATGCCATGGTGGTAGAGTGTGAGCATGAAAGGTGATAGAGGAGTGGGGCAGCTTCTGAAAGGAAGAGGAAACCAAAGAGTGTTCAGAAACACGGGAGGGGAAGGATACTGATGGGTACTGCATGGACGTGAGGGGATTGGTGAAAAATATTAACAACGTAAGCCCGTGAGTGAAATCGTGAACCCAGAGTGGGCGCAACTCCCCTGGGCAGGTGGAAACCAAGGTTTCAAGAAGCACCTGAGAGGGAGGTGGAAACACGGGGGTTTAAGGTTTACACGGGATGGCACGGGTTTACCAAGGAGAAAAGTGTGGGATGAGAAACAAGTAAAAGGACCCTCACAAGCCACTCACCACCAAGATAGTCCAGGCAATATGATACGCCTTCAAGCATATGTCATTCCCCACGGCAAATTCACCGAAGGCGTCCATTGCTGCGTTGAAGAAGATCTCGTTGCCGAACGGGAGATCAGTAACCTCAGCATTTCCCCATGTGCTCAGCTGGGCGTCGGCACCTGCAACACAGTCGAACGAAGGTGGTTCAATGGGTGGGGTGTGAAAAGGGAAGAACGTGGATGAGCTGGCGAATCACAGGTTTCTACAACGGTCCATGTAAAGGAAACGCCAAGCTATGGAGTACAGATATGGGGTGTTGCAAGAAACGGGTGCTAGGGCTGAGATGGTGAAACAAAGTGGAGGGGGGGAGGGTGGGGGAAAAGGTCAGGCAGGTGTTTACTCACTCGGGCCATACTCCCCCCAGAGATCCTCCTTGAGCTCAGTGTCAATGTGGATTTCCGCTGCCCGCAAGCCACTCATAGGAACCCCCAACCCCTCGAGCACAGTCCGTTTGACGTAAAACCCGCGCTCGTTCTTCCACTGCGTATACACGCGCTTGAATGCATCCCTCCGTGTTTTATCCGCCATGGCCTCCTTCAGCAATATCAATGGAACCACATAATGCTCAGAAATGACTTCCTGCAAAACAATAATCCGCTTCTCAAAGCTTGGGTAGAACGTGACAAGATGGTCCTCAGCTTCCATACACATGCGCTTCCTTGCTTCTTCCATGTACAGCTGTTTAAAATGAGAATGTAGGGTAAACCAAAGAATGGGAATGTGGGGTATTGGGAATGAGTATATGTCACTGCAGAGAATGAGACCAGAGGCAGGGATGAGAATGAATCACTGCAGAGAAGGAAACCAGAGAGTGGGAATGTGAATGAGTCACTGCAGGTAATGAGACCAGAGGGTGGGATGAGAATGAATCACTGCAGCGAAGGAAACCAGAGAGTGGGAATGGGAATGAGTCACTGCAGAGAATGAGACCAGAGGGTGGGATGAGAATGAATCACTGCAGAGAAGGAAACCAGAGAGTGGGAATGTGAATGAGTCACTGCAGAGAATGAGACCAGAGGGTGGGATGAGAATGAATCAGTGCAGAGAAGGAAACCAGAGAGTGGGAATGTGAATGAGTCACTGCAGAGAAGGAAACCAGAGAGTGCGAATGTGAATGAGTCACTGCAGAGAATGAGACCAGAGGGTGGGATGAGAATGAATCACTGCAGAGAAGGAAACCAGAGAGTGCGAATGTGAATGAGTCACTGCAGGTAATGAGACCAGAGGGTGGGATGAGAATGAATCACTGCAGAGAAGAAAACCAGAGAGTGCGAATGTGAATGAGTCACTGCAGAGAATGAGACCAGAGGGTGGGATGAGAATGAATCACTGCAGAGAAGGAAACCAGAGAGTGGGAATGGGAATGAGTCACTGCAGAGAATGAGACCAGAGGGTGGGATGAGAATGAATCACTGCAGAGAAGGAAACCAGAGAGTGGGAATGTGAATGAGTCACTGCAGAGAATGAGACCAGAGGGTGGGATGAGAATGAATCACTGCAGAGAAGGAAACCAGAGAGTGGGAATGTGAATGAATCACCGAAGAGAAGGAAACCAGAGAGTGGGAATGTGAATGAGTCACTGCAGAGAATGAGATCAGAGGGTGGGATGAGAATGAATCACTGCAGAGAAGGAAACCAGAGAGTGCGAATGTGAATGAGTCACTGCAGGTAATGAGACCAGAGGGTGGGATGAGAATGAATCACTGCAGCGAAGGAAACCAGAGAGTGGGAATGGGAATGAGTCACTGCAGAGAATGAGACCAGAGGGTGGGATGAGAATGAATCACTGCAGAGAAGGAAACCAGAGAGTGGGAATGTGAATGAGTCACTGCAGAGAATGAGACCAGAGGGTGGGATGAGAATGAATCACTGCAGAGAAGGAAACCAGAGAGTGGGAATGTGAATGAATCACCGCAGAGAAGGAAACCAGAGAGTGGGAATGTGAATGAGTCACTGCAGAGAATGAGATCAGAGGGTGGGATGAGAATGAATCACTGCAGAGAAGGAAACCAGAGAGTGCGAATGTGAATGAGTCACTGCAGGTAATGAGACCAGAGGGTGGGATGAGAATGAATCACTGCAGCGAAGGAAACCAGAGAGTGGGAATGTGAATGAGTCACTGCAGAGAATGAGACCAGAGGGTGGGATGAGAATGAATCACTGCAGAGAACGAAACCAGAGAGTGGGAATGTGAATGAGTCATTGCAGAGAAGGAAACCAGAGAGTGGGAATGTGAATGAGTCACTGCAGAGAATGAGACCAGAGGATGGGATGAGAATGAATCACTGCAGAGAAGGAAACCAGAGAGTGGGAATGTGAATGGGTCATTGCAGAGAAGGAAACCAGAGAGTGGGAATGTGAATGAGTAACTGCAGAGAATGAGACCAGAGGGTGGGATGAGAATGAATCACTGCAGAGAAGGAAACCAGAGAGTGCAAATGTGAATGAGTCACTGCAGAGAATGAGACCAGAGGGTGGGGATGAGAATGAATCACTGCAGAGAAGGAAACCAGAGAGTGGGAATGTGAATGAGTCACTGCAGAGAATGAGACCAGAGGGTGGGATGTGAATGCGTCACTGCAGAGAAGGAAACCAGAGAGTGGGAATGTGAATGAGTCACTGCAGAGAATGAGACCAGAGGGTGGGATGAGAATGAATCACTGCAGAGAAGGAAACAAGAGAGTGGGAATGTGAATGAGTCACTGCAGAGAATGAGACCAGAGGGTGGGATGAGAATGAACCACTACTTGCTGGCCCGGCCGTCACTGGGAGCACTGAACAGTGCCCCACTCCACGGCGCCTTCCTGGCAGCCCCCACCAGAAATGGGGCCGGGGGGAGGAAAGGGGCTAAGGGGGAAGGAGACGGGGTGGGGAAAAGGAGAAGGGCGGGAAGAAGAAGAGGGGAAAAGGGGAAGGAGAGCGGGGGGGGGGGAGGAGGGGAGAAGAGGAAACGGAGAGAGAGGGGGCGGCGGGAAAAAGAGTGGGCTTGGGAAAAGAAAGGGGGCGAGACAAAAGCTTGCGTTATTGTGATTTGAACAGCTCAAAAGACAAACTAGAGGAGAGGGAGGGAGGGAGGGAGGAAGGCGGGAGGGAGAAAGGAGGGAGGTAGGGAGAAAAGGAGGGAGGGGGAGAGGGAGGGAGGGGAGAGAAACCTACCCTCAGCTTCTGCAGCTTATGGAAAAAAAATGCATGTGGTTACTCGAGCAAAATGCATGTGGTTGCTTCGCAGGAGTGTCAAAATTCCTGGTAAAGTGTGAAGCACGTGGTCAAGCCGGGTAAAAAAAAAATGCATGTGGTCAAAATGCATGTAACGAAGCACGAGTGTTGAGGATACAGATGGCGAATAAGAAGAAGGCTGGTTGGGATGGATTGCAGGGCATGAGTGAATGTCTGACCGGATGTAAGAAGCGAGGCCGAGCAGCATCTCCAGTGTGACCTCCTCGTAGTGCACCTTTGCTGCCATGCAGGGTCCCTGGGGGAACGGGGAGGGGCAAGGCAAGGGAAGGGGAATGCAAGGGAGGATGAAATTGGCAGTCGGGAGAAATAGAATGGGTGGAACGAGGGAGATGATGGGAGGGAGGCAAGAGCACATATGCGGCGGCTTATGGCAAAAAAGGAAGACGTTTGATTGATCTTATGCAACACAAAAAGACACATACATATGAAGAATAAGAAGGGAGGAAAGCGGGCTGAGATGGAATGGATTGGCATGTGTGACGGACCATAGGTAAGCAGCGAGGGCGAACAGCATCTCCTGCGTGAAACCCGGCTGCCATGCAGGGCAGCCTGCACTGCCCTCCTGCAGTGACTTGATTGCAAGGAGATCGGTCCGATAGGTTCGAGGCGGTACATGTAGCTGTCAAATTATAATCTTGTGTAGGCTGTAGTGGGGTAGCCTATATGGGGTACACATTTCTAGGGTTGCATATTTGTACCACATTCCATTCCTTAGTGCACTCATTCTCGTTTCAGTTTTCTCATGGTATCGAGCAGGTTCCCTCGTGGGAACTGTGCCTAGGGCCCACCAAGTCGATTTTTTTTTTCCTGCCCGGAGCGCACTCAGCCCGAGTCGCGCTCCCCTCTCTGACTTCGTCGAGCCGCCCTAGCGGCCACGTCGAGCCGCCTTAGCGGCCCCTGATTCGTCGCCCTAGCGACCCCGTCGCCCTACCTACGGCCCCGGCCCCGTCGCCCTACCTGAGCCTCGGCCCCGTCGCCCTACCTGCGCCCCGGCCACGTAGCCCTAC